CAGAAGTCCAACAGAGATTCAACCGTCCCCTCGCTCCTGCCACTGTCCAGACGGATTTTGAGAAGGCTGCCATTCGTGCTGTCAACACAGAGTTCCCGAATGCCGACGTCAAAGGTTGTTTTTTTCATTATTGTCAGGCGATCTGGCGGAAGACACAGGATCTTGGATTAGCAGTACAGTACAAGGAAGATCCTGCAGTACAACAATGGATCAGAAGAGCTGCTGTACTTGCCCTCCTGCCCTTACTTGATGTCCAGGACACCTGGTTGGATGCTATGCAGGCAACTCCACCAGTTCCGAGAGCTGAAGACTTCAATGACTATATGGTCATCAACTGGGTTGACGATGATGCTCGGTTTCCAATACCTTTGTGGAATCACCACCAGACAGCCGGCCCTCGCACCAACAACAATCTTGAGGGATTTCACCATCGTCTATACAGATCCTTACCCCACCGCCACCCGAATATCTACCGATTTGTAGAAGTGATTAAGAAGATTGAGTGTGCAGACAGGACAAAAATCGCACAGTTAGACTTTGGTGCCGCCCCACCCAGCAGGAAGCGAGTTTATAGAGAGACTGAAAATCGCCTGAGACGTCTTAAGGACATGTTGACTCAAGGACAGAAAACCCCTATCGAGTTCCTTGATGCTGTTAGTCATCTTCTCAAACTTGGTTAAGAGACTTGAAATATAGTAATTTTAGTGCTGTATGTGACAGAGTGAGGCCAGTTGTCACATTAAATTTGTGTGTGTACTATTTATTTATACCAGTGCTTACATTAAATTAGAAAGTAGTCTAGTGCAAAAAGTGTGTGTACTATTTATTTATACCAGTGCTATATGAGTAAATTGTCTTCATTGTCTTCAAATTGTTTTGTTTTGTTGTATGTTGTACACTTAATTAATTGGACTGTTCCAATCAATGCCCAACAGGTAATAGCCAGGAGATTAGTGGTGCAGTGGACCATAAACTTTGTTGTTTTAAGCTGTAGAAGTTTTGGCATGTAGAAGTTTTGGGAGGACACCGTTAGAAACACGACTTGGGTAGATTTGATATTTTTACACTTTCCACTGGATTTGCATCAAATTTACCAAGTTTCCAGTTTAACACATTATAATTTTCATTAACAGAATTAGGTACAAGCTATCGCATCCAAGATTGCCTTCTATCGTAGACTTACAAGAATGCACATTTGCAGTTCCTACAGCAAGACAAATCTAGAAAAGAAGAGAAATATAGAAATGTAATTATCACAACATTCTCTGCGTTAACTCAATTTTTTTTCTTTCTTTTTTTAAATAGTGAGGTGTATGAATATTCCTATTTTTTGTGTTTTCGTTGATTGGGGAAAGCCGCTTTACCAAGTTGTATCAAATGCAAGTCAATATAAGCATGACGGATATATTTCACAATAGTATGCGAACTGTGTCAGTTCGTTTCTTGTTAAATTCTCGGGGCAGGGAATTTTGTTCGTCTTGGGGGCTGGGGGGGATTGGGGTTGGGTGAGTACTTAAATTTATGAGCCAAAATATTTGCAATATGAAGCAGAATTATTATTTTCTAGAATGTTCAGGTACAATTAATTCGTCTCGATAAAATACCTGTTGCCATTTAGTTTCGTGATACACACTCTCTCGATATACATATTGGTACTCTTCGCTCTGGTTCAAGTTGCAGTGGTTCCCGTGTGCATACTGTACACCACAATTATCCCACACGTCTGAAGCATGTTTGAAAAAAAGGTCTAATGATAAACTTTTTTGACTTGGAGTATATTTGAGTTTCACCATTGAAGAAATGACTGAAGCGTATGGTTGAATCTATATGTCTGTTAGAAACACGACTTGGATAGATTTGATATTTTTACACTTTCCACTGGATTTGCATCAAATTTACCAAGTTTCCAGTTTAACACATTATAATTTTCATTAACAGAATTAGGTACAAGCTATCGCATCCAAGATTGCCTTCTTCCGTAGACTTACAAGAATGCACATTTGCAATTCCTACAGCAAGACAAATCTAAAAAAGAAGAGAAATATAGAAATGTAATGATCACAACGTTCTCAGCGTTAACTCATTTTTTTTTTTTTTTTTTTAATAGTGAGGTGTATGAATATTCCTATTTTTTGTGTGTTTTCGTTGATTGGGGAAAGCCGCTTTACCAAGTTGTATCAAATTCAAGTCAATATAAGCATGACGGATATATTTCACAATAGTATGCGAACTGTGTCAGTTCGTTTCTTGTTAATTTCTCGGGGCAGGGAATTTTGTTCGTCTTGGGGGGTGGGGGGGATTGGGGTTGGGTGAGTACTTAAATTTATGAGCCAAAATATTTGCAATATGAAGCAGAATTATTATTTTCTAGAATGTTCAGGTACAATTAATTCGTCTCGATAAAATACCTGTTGCCATTTAGTTTCGTGATACACACTCTCTCGATATACATATTGGTACTCTTCGCTCTGGTTCAAGTTGCAGTGGTTCCCGTTTGTGTGCATACTGTACACCACAATTATCCCACACGTCTGAAGCATGTTTGAAAAAGAGGTCTGATGATAAACTATTTTTACTTTGAGTATATTTGAGTTTCACCATTGAAGAAATGACTGAAGCGTATGGTTGAATCTATATGTCTGTTAGAAACACGACTTGGATAGATTTGATATTTTTACACTTTCCACTGGATTTGCATCAAATTTACCAAGTTTCCAGTTTAACACATTATAATTTTCATTAACAGAATTAGGTACAAGCTATCGCATCCAAGATTGCCTTCTTCCGTAGACTTACAAGAATGCACATTTGCAATTCCTACAGCAAGACAAATCTAAAAAAGAAGAGAAATATAGAAATGTAATTTTCACAACATTCTCAGCGTTAACTCAAATTTTTTTTTTAATTTTTTAGATATTGAGGTGTATGAATATTCCTAATTTTTGTGTGTTTTCGTTGATTGGGGAAAGCTGCTTTACCAAGTTGTATCAAATGCAAGTCAATATAAGCATGACGGATATATTTCACATTAGTATGCGAACTGTGTCAGTTCGTTTCTTGTTAATTTCTCGGGGCAGGGAATTTTGTTCGTCTTGGGGGGTGGGGGGGATTGGGGTTGGGTGAGTACTTAAATTTATGAGCCCAAATATTTGCAATATGAAGCAGAATTATTTTTTTCTAGAATGTTCAGGTACAATTAATTCGTCTCGATAAAATACCTGTTGCCATTTAGTTTCGTGATACACACTCTCTCGATATACATATTGGTACTCTTCGCTCTGGTTCAAGTTGCAGTGGTTCCCGTTTGTGTGCATACTGTACACCACAATTATCCCACACGTCTGAAGCATGTTTGAAAAAAAGGTCTAATGATAAACTATTTTGACTTTGAGTATATTTGAGTTTCACCATTGAAGAAATGACTGAAGCGTATGGTTGAATCTATATGTCTGTTAGAAACACGACTTGGATAGATTTGATATTTTTACACTTTCCACTGGATTTGCATCAAATTTACCAAGTTTCCAGTTTAACACATTATAATTTTCATTAACAGAATTAGGTACAAGCTATCGCATCCAAGATTGCCTTCTTCCGTAGACTTACAAGAATGCACATTTGCAATTCTTGCAGCAAGACAAATCTAGAAAAGAAGAGAAATATAGAAACATAATTATCACAACATTCTCAGCGTTAACTCAATTTTTTTACTTTATTTTTTAAATAGTGAGGTGTATGAATATTCCTAATTATTTGTGTTTTCGTTGATTGGGGAAAGCCGCTTTACCAAGTTGTATCAAATGCAAGTCAATATAAGCATGACGGATATATTTCACAATAGTATGCGAACTGTGTCAGTTCGTTTCTTGTTAATTTCTTGGGGCAGGGAATTTTGTTCGTCTTGGGGTTGGGATTTTTGTTCAGAAAGGTTTTGCACTCGGCCCTACAGAACATAAAAACCCCGTGAAGATCCGGGTGAGAACTGGTCTTCAGGAACCCTTGTTTGTCTTCAGAGGCGACTAACGGAATGACTTGGTGAGGCTCGCTGATGTTCTTGATGCACGCCATCGTATCCCATTTGCGTGGATCGATGATCATGATTTTTTTCACTAGATTGTCTTGTCCAGACTCGATTATTTACAGACCACTATATTGCTGAGTGCGGCGTTAAACAACAAACAAACAAAACATAACATTTGGTCTTTGAAAGTAGGGCCAAAGAAATATATTTTGATTATCCACCTATTTTGTAAGAACTGACAGCATGTCCAGTGAACGATTGAATGTGTGGGTAAAACCTGAGGACAAAAGAGTTTTTAGCGTTTGGAGGAACAGACTGTTTTGTGCTACATAACTTTGGCCATGTACATGTAGTTTCGTCAAAAGCATCCATGTTGGTAATAATCCCACTTGCAAATGCAGCGATATATTTTATTTATTTATTTTCCATATTCCCCTGATGGAAATATCATACACTTCTTTAATAATTTGCCCCAGAATATACTGGAAAAATAATTTCCGTAGTCTTTTATAAAACAAAATATTGTTTGTTAGACACAATGCGTGTAATGAAAAGAATGGGTTGTGAAACAAGGTTCGGTTACTGGATTCAGAGCAAAAGAATGTATGTTGTGAAGCGATGACCGAACTGTATGTGTGTTTGTCTCCCAAAAGCCGTAGCTGAGGTGTTCGGTTTTGTGTGTAATTTACAGGTATTGAACACACTCGAAACTTCTAATTCGTAAACAAAGAAGGTTTGTTGCCTGATTATAGAGATGGCTAGAAGTAAAATCAGTAACGCCTGTCTGAAATGATATCGTGTTACATATATATGTTCCCAGAAATATCCATTGTATGGTGTCAGTGTCCTGTTACCAGAATGACATGTATTTGTTGTAGAATGTATGCAGTTCCACAAACAAACAGGCCTTTGCATTTGTTTATGTTTACTTACGATTTGTCAGATCTAGGACTTACTCTCCGTTACATTTATGTACTAGGTTTAACGTCAGCAGAACGATTGAAGGTCAGCGAAGAACTCAGCAGGGTCGTGCCCCTCAAAGTCATTGAGAAGCCAAGCAGAGATGTCATGCCAATGACAAAGTTAAGAACAAGGTACTGAAAACTACTTGTACTACTCAACATTCGGTAGGGTTTTTGATCAGTTCGATACAACGGTTACTTGGGCTTCTAATGCCACTCTAAGGTCCGGGTTTGAATAGGTCCTCAGTAACCAATCCTTGTAGTAAAAGGCGACTATGCTTGTCTTAAGAGGCGGCTAACGGGATCGAGTGGTCAGGCTCGCTGACTTGGTTGATGCATGTCATCGTATCCCAATTGCGTAGGTCGATGCTCATGATATTAATCACTGGATTGTCTTGGCCAGACTCGATTATTTACAGACCGCCGTCATACAGCCAGAATATTGCTGAGTGTGGCGTTAAACAACAAACAAATCAACAAAATCTGGGGCCAATATCACCAAAATTCCGGCATGCTTTTTTGATGTGGAAGGAATTTAAAAATTGACTACCTTAACAAAGTGTGCATTATCTACGCCGGTCTATCAATATTCCAGCAATATCACGGCGGAAGACACAAGTTAGGGTATGCAAACATGCAGATTTTGTACCAATGAATCAACCGTTCTGGTCAAGCCAGGGAACGCCACGGGCACGGGTATGTCATACATGTAGTTCGAGCGAATCTGGCCATGAAATAACAGTAACACGTCCCATTTTAATTCTTGAAACACTCCGCGCTGTGACCAGTCTCGGGCAAAGGTATTTACAAAATTCAAACTTTACCTGAGTCATCTTTTTCTTTTGAAGATACATTAACGTTTCTACAAGTATCATGACACATAATTCAACTCATTTTAACTTCATTCAACTAATTTATAACATTGTTAAAAAATAGCCAATTGTCGAAATCATGGGCGAGAACAGTTTTATTTGCTCAGAACGCGTGGGTTTTTTTTGGCAAATAGATAAAGGTATGTCTACACGTATCATGACACCGATTGAACTCATTGTTAACTTAATTCGACTCATTTGTATCCTTGTTAACACAATTCGTCCATTATTAATACTTTTGAAAGCGTCAATGTGTCGGATTTTCATAATGGTATGTGTTTTTAACGATATCTTAATATCGAATCCTTGATCAATGTAACGTATAATTAATGGTGTAGGATGGTATAAAACCGATAAACATATAATAAGACCGAAGCATGTTTAATCACAATTTCAGAGAGACAAAGATTAACAACGACAGTTTGACGCTCGATCTCGATGTTTTTGAGTTTGAGCGTCTTATTGACTCATCAAAGATGAATCAACGTGAATGGGAGGAGATCGCTGAATGTATAAAGGTAATACATGTACCGTATTGCCGTAATTTGTGGCCGGGCCGGGCATTTAGAACATTGACAAAGGGGGCGCCTATTAAAGTGAGTGACTTTGGTTTTACGCCGCTTTTAGCAATATTCCACCAATACCGTGGCGGGGAACACCAGAAATGAGCTTCACACATTGTACCCATGTCGGGAATCGAACCCGGGTCTTCGGCGTGACGGACGAACGCTTTAACAACTAGGCTACCCGACGGCCCCGGTGCCTATTAAAGGTATACACAACAAGTTACATTTGTCTTTTTCAGAAATCGAGCAATATTTAAAAAACTTAGTTCAAACGTCGATGATAGTTCCTGGGCGATACTATACACCTTCTGCCGGGCTGTTTTCTCTCGAAGATACAAGAAAGTATGGACTGTTAGAATGGAGTGCTTATACAGGGTACTTTCATATTGATCTGGAAGTTGGTCAAGGGGCGCTTTTTGGAGCAGAACGCTTAATACACTGAATATGATATGTTTACCTTTAGATCGCCATACGTGAAATGTTGAAAATCGGCTTCCCCCCTGACCCACCGCCGCCCCATAACGGATTTAAAACAAGACGGTATTCATCAATAACAAGTCTCGTGAAGATCCGGGGTAGGATAGGTCTTCGGCAACCCATGGTTGCCGTAAAAGGTGACTATTCTTGCCGAAAGATGCGACTAACGGGATCGGGTGGTCAGGCTCGCTGACTTGGTTGATGCATGTCATCGTATCCCAATTGCGTGGATCTATGCTCATGATGTTAATCACTGGAATGCTCGATTATTTACAAACCGACGTTATATAGCTGGAATATTGCTGAGTGCGACGTTAAACAACAAATACACAACAAACAGACAAACAACAAATCATCAATAACAAAACATTGGTGTTCCCAACTTGCATGAATATTTCTTAAAGCGGCGTAAAACGACATCAGCTTATTTATGTTGACATTGTCAATGTTATAGGACAATTACAACGAATACACTGGCTTCGTGGTTGTCATGGGAACAGACACAATGGCCTACGCAAGCTCTGCCCTGTCCTTCATGCTGGAGAACCTCGGAAAGCCAGTCGTCTTCACTGGGGCACAGGTTGGTTACAGAGCATCCACACAGAGTGCAATGTTTGGATTGCAAAAGATATTTAGTCGCTGAAGTTTCACTAGCTATAATCATCAGATAAAGATCACATCCTGACATAACCTTATTAGTTTTCTCAAATTGTATTGAATTGGACAGACAACTTTAACCATTACCTGCCATAGTTACAATGTAAATACAATCGTATATTAATTCTTTGTTTCGTAGGACAGGTTCTCATATTTGTCATCGGACGGGTCCTCGTATATGTCATCAGAAATGTTTATATTTATCTTCAAAGTGTTATCATATATCATGTCATCAGGTTCCATCATATATATCATCTGGTTTCATCATATATGTCATCCGGTTTCATCATATATGTCACCACACTACATCCTACATGTTTCTGTCATCAAAGCATCATCACTGACTCCGAGGCGACCAGTCCTTGTTTTAGCCCCTTTATGTCGAGCGCCAGACAGGGTAACAACAAGCACCATCTTTTAACGTCTTTTTGGTATGACGCGGCCGAGGATCGAACCCCGGACCTTCATGTATGCGTTATCAGACGATCATCTTATATGTTATCAGAAGATCACCATTTATGTCATCATAGGATCACCCTACTTGTAGGTTATCAGGAGATCTTCATATATGTTATCAGAAGATCTTCATATATGTTATCAGAAGGTCACCATTCATGTCATCAGAGGATCATCCTACATGTATGTTATCAGGAGATCTTCATATATATTATCAGGAGATCTTCATATATAATCACGAGATCTTCATACCAGTATTTGTTATCAGAAGATCATAATATGTCATCAGTCCATCATCATATACGTATATATCATCAGAAGATCATCATATATGTCATCAGAGTTCATCATGTCTGTTATCAGAGGGGTCCTCATATTTGCCATCGCAGAGCCTTGGGTCAATATAGTGTACAAATATTATACAAAGGGTGTTTTTTAAGTTCAATGATAATTGTTTTTGTTATTTTAGCGAGTAGAGGATGTGTTTCAAATTAAGATATATCACCTCGTTTTGACAGATTTCTATCTTCGACGCCCGGAGCGACGGACCGGGGAACCTCCTCTGTTCCCTCATCGTTTCAACGCTCGACATTCCCGAGGTAGGACTATCTCAGTTCCCGGTTTGACGGATATACTAGGCGCTGCTATGGTGGCCGAGGTGGTGTGTGTGTGTGTGGGTGGGGGGGGGGGGGGGGGGGGGGGGGGGGGGGGGTGGGCATCGCTTTCTCGCTCTATAGCTTTCTCACGGTAAAGCAATATCCTCTCTTGACCACTTTTGGGGTCGCATGTGTTATCTGTTTCAATTGGGAGGGTATCTTACAATTTCTCACTATCTATTTAAATTTAATTTAACTGTACAGACTTAGGTGATTTTAAAACAACCCACGGATTTCTGCGTAAAATACAATTGATTGATTTAGCCCAATTTAGTTTCACGTGACCATCAGGCCGAAAGCGCGTGGAGGGTCATGGCAACACGCTCTAAATAAATCAGGTTATTTTTTTTTATAATTTTCAAAAGAAGTTAAGAAGAGTATGATTAACCATTCATGGCTGATTGAATTGCAAAATACAATCTTATAAGTGCGGGTGTTCTTTAAACGGTTTTTAGTGGAATTGTATGTTACAGTGTGTCGTACTGCTGTCCGTAAATATTCCTTCTGACATTTGATTTATGATCAACTTGTATTGTGTGTCTTGTCTTGTGCAAATCTATAAGTATATGTATTTGCACATAGTAATTGGATAAACACCGCTGTCAGTGAGTGAGTATGGTTTTACGTCGTTACCAGGTTACCTCACTGTCCCCATCGCTGTGACAATGGTGTTAACACATGTGATATGTTTACTGGAGTAAACTAAACATATAGAGAGACATCCTACTTAGTGTGGCTACACAGTTAACGTTGATAACAATATGAAGTGCATCACTATGATCATCTATAACATATGTTAAATCAGCTATCATTCTAATATTTTATGTATATTTTAAGTATACTTTTGTCTTGGTATAAGAGGCAAAATAGCGGTGAATATTATAGGAATGGATCACTGAATATCAACCAAAAGAAAAAATGTACGCTCTAATGTCAAATGTACGGGAAATATCGCTCTATCGCTTTCTCGCTTTTTTGCTTTTTCGCTCTATCGCTTTCTCTCATAACTTACCATTGTCATTTGAAAGAATCGGTTGTTCTTTAACTTCTTTTGAATATCATGTACTGTTAATTATGAAATTGACGCTAGAGTTTATCAAATGCAAAATTGGGAGTGGACTTAATTACTTGAACTTTGCATTAATGTCTCAGAAATGACTGTGGGTAAGACGGCCTCACTGCACACTTTGAAAGCAACGGAACTCGCAACTTGAATATAAAAACAAACAACTATCTATTTCCACATTACGGTTTATTGAGAACAATATGTCATTCAAACATAAGAAATAACATTAACAATAACATGATAAAGAGTGAGTGAGTGAGTGAGTTGGGTTTAACGCCGCTTTTAACAGTATTCCAGTTATATCGCGGCGTGTCAGCTTAATGTGGGAGGAAAGCCCGAAGTGATGTAGGTCTCAGACGTTTACCACTTTGGTGAAACCCACGAGCACGGGTATGGTGCTGACAAACCTAGAAACATAATCGGGGCGAACCGGGATTCGAACCCACAATCATAGGTTTCTGGCGTGCCCAAGGGACGCAACTCTGCACAGCGAATCGCCCCCCAACATGATAAAGAAATCCGATGAGTTACCTTTGCTGGGGTGAGGACTTCCAGTTTCATGACATCTACTCAGCATTCTGAATAAACATTGATATCATCTAAGTGTTGATTTAAAGGGCAAGTTCACACGGAAATGAACCTAATTTTCTTGTACTTTTTCCACAATAAAAGTGTTAACCTAGAAGTGTCATAGACAAAAATATAAAAATATCACAATTAATTAACATATGTTTTGCATTAAAACGATTTATATTTTTCACATTTACCAAGCGTTCTATTTCCATAACAAAAACACCATGGCTTATGCCCCTTGCAATATGACGTCATTGGTGCCAATTGATAAACATTATGACGTCATCATGCTTTGTTAGAGCCGCTTCACGTGGTGTAGGTATAGGTGTGTGATTCTAGCGTCTCAGATGCCAGCCAGCATAGTGTAATGCTGAGTCACCACTGCGCCGGAGTGTGTCGTAGGCCATGTTGTTTTACCGAAAACTGGTACTTGATATCTTTTGCGTTCAGAATAGACAGGGACCCAGTTGAATTGGCACCAATTACGTCATAATCTAAGGGGGATAACTCAGGCCTGTTTAGCTCGAAAAACGAAGGCCTCATAACGGCATATCATTTTCACACAATTGTGAGCTTCCTACTTTCACTGTGAAAGAAATTAGTGTATATTTTCAAACACAGATACTAACTAATTCTAAAATTGCGTTTTGTTTAGAAAAAGAAAGAAAGTGATTTTTGCGTGTACACTTCCCCTTTAAGGAAAACACCATTGTTTTGAGGGGGTACACTACGCAGCACTAATAAGCGGTGTTATTATATCATATCATATAGGTAGGAACCTTTATTTATACAGAAGAGTAGATTAAGATGTTGTTATTTTGGAGGGTTGTAAAGAACATACGGCTAAAAGCAGCGTCAAACACAACTTACTCACTCACTCATACCATATATCGTCCGTCCTTCTGTCAGGTGCTGCTGTGTTTCAACAAGAAAGCCTTCCGTGCTAGCCGTGTTGTCAAGATGGACTGTGTGGACTTTGACGCCTACGACTCGCCCAACATGCCCGCCGTTGTGACACTGGATTACACTGGGATTTCATATAATGTCCTGGGTATTTTATTAATATAACTTCCGTTCAGATTGTAACATGTAATGAAATGTAAAATCAAATGACAAATCTTTTCTTTATATTCCCGAGGATCGAACTCGCAACCTTCATATCTGTAGCCCAGTGAGTGTACCACGAGGCTACAGAGGTGTTGATTAGCCGCACTGGTTTTTAGAATGTCCTTTTCAAGATCCATACGCCAGCAACAGATATTTTACGTGCGTTTCCTAAGGTTCATGGAAAGTATGTTTGAAACATAAAAATGTTGATAAATGTTGTTTTGTAATTTTCTTTTTTCGGTTTATAAGCATGGAAAAACACTTTCCCTCGGTTTTGGTAGACAGAGCATGCCCTGGGGGTCGGGAAAAACCGCGGGGGCTTTGCCCCCTTGGTTTTTCCCTCTCCCCGGGGCATGCTCTGTCTACCAAAACCTCGTGAGCGTGTTTTCTCCAATGCTTAACTCATGGAATCCCAACTCCTGGACTCACCACATACATTGTGTGAAACTCTCTTGGTACCCACCCACCCGCAATATCTCGCAATCCTTATTGTAAATTGATTTGACGGCTATTTGGTTGCGTCTTTTGTTTTGTATCTGATTCAAAACAATGCTATGGTAGCCAATTTGTCCAAGGTATTATAAGAAAAGAGTGACTGGATAAATGAGGATAAGTTGTGATGCAGATGTAGCTGCTGCTGGAATCGGTATACATTACTCTTATACGTATTTGTGTCAGTCTTTCACTCGCTCCCTCCCTCCCATCAACTCACTCATCTACTCCAGTTGAGGAAAAGTTGGTCTTGAAGAAGCCAGAAGGTCCTCTGCGTGTTCAGAAGATGCTCCCCAAGAATGATGTGGGTCTTTTAGTTATCTTCCCAGGGATGACACCGCAACAGGCACGTATTGAAATGACATTCTTAAATTTAAATAATGTAGTGCACTTGTCTCGTTTCACCAAACTATCGCAGCGAAACGACCCATTCGTCACCACTCGCCCCTTTCCGTAACCTGCAAGAAGACTCGTCCCCCTATCGATGAATGTTATGTGCGAAATACGACAAACCAATCAGAATGCGCGTATGATTTCAAGTTCTTCAACAAAGAATCCCTCAGAAACAATTTATGATTTTACATATGTCTTGCATCTAAAAATATACCCAAGACACAGTTAAATGTGGTCAATCATATTGTATAAATCCGCATGTCCCGATGTGCTTTTAATTGCATCTGAAATATATATAATATATGGGAAATATATGTGAACCATTACGCAACGAGTTGACAATTGTTTTAGGTTTGCCCGTTTGCGCTAAGACGGAACCCGGTCGCAAAAATGGCCACGAGAGGGGCACGAGTCGCTATACGGCTGGTCCCGGAATAACACGAGTTGGTCACAAATGCGAAACGACCATGGAACCCCCAGTAGTTACCTTACCTCTGTAGCCTCTAAGGTTTAATTCAGACTGCCGCCGCACTTTGTGTTTGAAACGTAACCTTTTTAGGCACCTTTACAGAAAGATCTTCCTCGAGATCATTGCCTGAAAACATTGTGTTTTCGTTGTGTTTTTGGTTTGGACGTTGGAACCTACATGTAAATAGACCATACTGCACTAAATGTGTCTTTTATTACTGATTTCTGCAAATGTAATTCATGTTCTGGTTATATTATATAAATATTCATGTATCATAAGTGAAAAATCGTATGATATCACCAGTAGAAACTACTTTCTTATGCTTTGTTTAATTGTCACATCGAATTCCACTTTGGAATATCGCTTTTGGTTTTGGAAATTAAAGTTCAAATATACTCTCAAGGTCAGTCACTAAAACAATGCATGTGTGATAGCTCAAGAGGTATTTACTATGGTGGGCTGAAGGTTGGTACGCACTATCCTGAAGGACGGGAGTTTCTGTTATAATTAGACATGCGTTTCTCCAAAACGGAAGTGAAGTCCTTGAACCGAAAGTACGTATTACTTTCCTAATAGTATAGCTATAACATGGGACTTCTTTTTTATAGTTGCTTTGCATTAAACATGTGTTTTTCAAAAATGTCATTGGACATATGATTCCAAACCGGAAGTAATGTGATTAAACAGGAGGTGTAATCTCCCATGAGGATGTAGTAGACATGTCATAGGCCAGGGGCGGTCGGGTAGGCTAGTTGTTAAAGCGTTCGCTCGTCACGCCGAAGACCCGGGTTCGATTCCCGACATGGGTAAATTGTGCGAAGCCCATTTCTGGCCCATATCCCCCGCCGTGATATTGCTCGAATATTGCTAAAAGCGGCGTAAAACCATACTTGCTTGTCATTGGCCAAGAGAAGCTATGTTGTCACACTTGAAAAGCGGGATCGCGTGTCATGATTTCTGGAGAGGCTGCTTCTGTTTTTGCGAGTAACAAAATAATTAAACATGGTTTAACATCATCTTACCAAGTAGCTCCCTATTAATAACATTTCTTAGCCAGTGCAGACCGCCTCCGTGGTCTTGTGGTAGAGCGTCCGCCCGGAGAGCGGAAGGTCCGGGGTTCGATCCCGGGCCGCGTCATACAAAAAGACGTTAAAAGATTGTACTTGTTGTTACCCTGTCTGGCGCTCGGCATTAAGGGGCTAAAACAAGGACTGGTCGGCTCGGAGTCAGTATACTGTGTCTGAGTGGGGTATTCATGTTAAACTGCGGCATGGTATCTCAGTGAGCTAGCACTATAAATCGGCATCAGTCCGGACTAGTACAAGCAGCCACACACACACATACACGTGCATGCACGTCGCTATATAAGTGCAATAATCTTGGACGCGACGTTAAACCCAATTTCACCTCACCTCACCTTAGCCAGTGCAGCAGTGAGCCTATATAAAACTATGGGAGATACTATCGACAAAGTTCTGATGGCTGTGATTTAATTAATATAGATGCACGACAACATAATGATTGGTACACCGACATATATTTCACAAAGCACAAATTGGGTCCGTGTGGACTCAAGCACACGGCAACGTGAACAAATGTAATCTAAGTGTATGCTTTTCTCGATCATCAGAGTTTTTTTTGCTTCTCGAAGAAATACTTATTCTGTAACATTTATAGCATAACTCCCCACTTATCCCATAGAAAGTCATGTGAAAGTTCACGGGTTCGTCTTTATATCTACTGTCGATTGGGATGCTGACAAGGCCTTAAAACTTTAAATATACAGCAGCTTCAACCATATATCATGTTGAGGATGTTGGAGTAACATGCATGAGTGTTGAAGCGGAGCATTATGAGTCAGTAAGGTTTTACGCCGCTTTTAGTATTATTCCAGCAATATCACGGCGGTAGACACCAGAAATGGGCTTCAGGCAGGTGGAATAGAAACCGGGTCTTCGGCGTGACGAGCGGATGCTTTAACCACTTGGCTACCCGACCGGTCGTAGCCGCTAATACAGAAGTTGAAATCCATATATCTAAATCACTGTAAGCAATATATATTCTGTGTTTTGTTCATTTGTATATTGATGTTGCAGGTGAAGAACACCGTGAAGGACTTACGTGGCGTGGTACTGCTGACATTTGGGACCGGCAATGTCGATAACAAGGTCGTCGATGCATTGATAGACGAAGAAGGAACAGAAGATACAAAACGCCTTTTTGTCAACGTGACTCAGTGTCTGAAGGGGTCAGTGACGTCAGCCTACGCGGCGTCCAAGGTCAGAATTGTTCACTGAAGTTAGCCAACGTTGTATCTTGCTCGATTAACAGGGAGGTCAAGAACATGCGAGGCGGTAGGGTGGCCTATTGATTAAAGAGTTCGCTCGTGAGGCCGAATACCCGGATTCGACTCAAAAAAGTGTAAAGCCGATTTTTGTAGTTCCCGCCGTAATATTGGTTAGATATTGTTAAAGCGGCGGACAATCATACCCACTCAGGAATAACTTAACCTTAGACATCTTCAAAACTCCGTAGATTTGTTTCTGAATCGAACATCGTTATGGAATCAACCATAAATTGTGTGTTTTCACAATATGCACACCCAATCTGAATTGAAAATAACGCAAACATATTTCTTAATCGCTTTTAAGATATATACTACATTTTTATATATCCTTATTTGGAGTTACCTCCCTTCACATATGAACAGAACTATCCAAAGGGATGTGGTGGACACTTTAAAAAACACTACGAAAAAGGCCAATCTTTGAACACCTCACTTTCATACAGACTCAAAACGTCCACGGAGTACAGAATATTTGATGATGAAATAAGCGAGCTCTGAATATACTTTGACTTACCAATCTCAATGAACTATCCCCTTGAATAACAGCTTCTCACTGCAACCGAGAGAGAGAGAGAGAGAGAGAGAGAGAGAGAGAGAGAGAGAGAGAGAGAGAGAGAGAGAGAGAGAATATCTGACTAATTACATTGCACAGCCAAATTGCTTGTTTTCGCTAACCAGGGCCTCAAAGAGTTGGGAGTCGTCCAAGGTTGGAACATGACTACAGAAGCCGCCTTCACAAAGCTCTGCTACGTGAGGGCGAAACGAGACGCCTTCCTAAATCAGAAAAAGGTATGAGCGTTGTTGCCGTCATATCTACTATCGGACAGACTATTTGATATTCTGAAGCAGGTGGAGTGGGGAATTTGAGAAAATACTGTAAAAAGATAACATTGCCTCGCTTTTTCCAACATTTTGTTCGCTTTGGTCTTGGATGCCGTGAAAACAATGCGTCCTTAAAAACATCTCTCCTCCTGTCAGAGAAAAAAATGTATGTTTTGAGGCAGTGACCGAAAATATATTCTGTGTCGAACGAAAACTATCCACCCCTCTCCAGTTTATTAAATGATTCGTACGAAATTTGATACCAGCAACTATCCAAATGCTGCCGAGCCTGATGTGAAGGAACACTCTGTTGTTATTAAAAAGTATTGATACTTTGAAAGTGAATGGGTAACAGATAAATCAGTGTGGCAAGTCCTTGTCATTTACACCTTTGTTGAGATCTGTGAGCGCGGGTATTGTGCTGACAAACAAAGATGATATTAATAAGGATGAATCTTGGAAACCCTAAAAGACGCAACCCTACACACCCTCTTAGACGACTGTGAACTACCGTTCCATCATACCTCTAAGCATTGCGAGTGAGTGAGTGAGTTGGGATTTGATGCCGTTTTGAAAGTATTTCAATCAAATCACGGCATGTAAGCTGGGTGTGGGTGGAAAGCTCGAGATTGTGCAGGTCTTCGAGACGTTAACCACTTTTGTGAAAGCTACGAGCACAGGTATGGTGCTGACAAACCTAGAAACACAATTAGGGATCATGTTGTTGGCACACCTAAGGGACTTAACTCTGCACAGCCAATGTGTCCTTAGCACCGTGAAGATATATTCACTAAATTCAAAACATCAGTTTATTCGATAATCTGCCGAAACAAGCTCAAATATAGCAACAAGATTACACTGTGAAAACAACTACATGAACGGATACAGGAAATATGTCTATAAAATGCGGTGTTAATAATAATGCCCCTGGAAACAAATTGAACACGTCCTTTTATAATGATGACGATGACGTGATTAAATATTATCTTCATGTCATCATAATACTAACAGATTTCAACAGATTTGTATGAAAGCATAATTATATTATCGGAGCGCCCCTGAAGATAAATTGATGCGTACCTAATATACACCTGTACCTTTAACCAATAATTAGGAATTTTCTTGAATTGGCATGGTGTTGCCTTTTTACAGATGATGGAAGAAAACCTCCGAGGAGAGATGGATGTGATCCCGAATGAAAATATCCACAATAATTAGGGCTTAGGCGAAGAACATTTTTTCTTTTAAGTTAGTTACACATTCATATATATATTCATGCTATTTTTGACACCTAGATGACTTATATTGGGCGTGAAAAAAACATTTAATCAAATTTCGCCATTTCTTTTTTAACATTTCGAAAGATTTTTGACACCCATTGTTTCTGTTTGAGGGTTTCCTTTTTATCATTTTATAGAAAGGAAGGGATGCGACATTTAATCATGAGTGACATGTACTGAGAAATATATACTTGTATTCATACCCCTAATTAAATGGTAGACTAATTCAACTCGTTCAATCGCCGTTAGTACATTCACAATTTATAAACATAGACATTTTTTCTTTATCAATCCATATCTTCCTGTACACTTCTGTCTTTGTAGAAATGATCATGTTTAAACTTGAATTGAATATTGATTTAATTATATATCATATGAAATAAATAAAATGTTGCATATAATGTGTTGTAATGTATTGTTCATTTTTTTACATACCACAGGCGGGGCTGCATTAGTTGAGAACCCTGTGTCCAAATAGAAAACAAACCACACAAGCATTTAGCCGTTAGACGTGTCACCAATGATATTATTTTCTATGAATGTTTTGCGGCAATTATATAGAGAATCTCCCCCGAGTCTCTTTTGATATCAAATATATCAACACGAGTTGATAAAAGTGGCAAAAATCCTCGGCAAGCCTCGGAATTTTTCCACTTTTATCAACTCGTGTTGATATATTTGATGTCAAAAGACACGAGGGTGAGATTTTTTTTATCATCCAACATCATTCTTCCAACTTTTTCAATTTGTAGACAGTAATTAGCAGTGTCTTCAGTGTAAAAAGTACTGCTAACAGCTTCAGTAGCAGAGCTATTAGTGATGTCATTTGATTCATAGAAAATAATATCATTGGTGACACGTCTAACGGCTAAATGCTGCATAAATAAAATGTTGCATATAATGTGTTGTAATGTATTGTTCATTTTTTTACATACCACAGGCGGGGCTGCATTAGTTGAGAACCCTGTGTCCAAATAGAAAACAAACCACACAAGCATTTAGCCGTTAGACGTGTCACCAATGATATTATTTTCTATGAATGTTTTGCGGCAATTATATAGAGAATCTCCCCCGAGTCTCTTTTGATATCAAATATATCAACACGAGTTGATAAAAGTGGCAAAAATCCTCGGCAAGCCTCGGAATTTTTCCACTTTTATCAACTCGTGTTGATATATTTGATGTCAAAAGACACGAGGGTGAGATTTTTTTTATCATCCAACATCATTCTTCCAACTTTTTCAATTTGTAGACAGTAATTAGCAGTGTCTTCAGTGTAAAAAGTACTGCTAACAGCTTCAGTAGCAGAGCTATTAGTGATGTCATTTGATTCATAGAAAATAATATCATTGGTGACACGTCTAACGGCTAAATGCTGCATAAATAAAATGTTGCATATAATGTGTTGTAATGTATTGTTCATTTTTTTACATACCACAGGCGGGGCTGCATTAGTTGAGAACCCTGTGTCCAAATAGAAAACAAACCACACAAGCATTTAGCCGTTAGACGTGTCACCAATGATATTATTTTCTATGAATGTTTTGCGGCAATTATATAGAGAATCTCACCCTCGTGTCTTTTTATATCAAATATATCAACACGAGTTGATAAAAGTGGCAAAAATCCTCGGCAAGCCTCGGAATTTTTCCACTTTTATCAACTCGTGTTGATATAGTTGATGTCAAAAGACACGAGGGTGAGATTCTTTTTATCATCCAACATCATTCTTCCAACTTTTTCAATTTGTAGACAGTAATAAGCAGTGTCTTCAGTGTAAAAAGTACTGCTAACAGCTTCAGTAGCAGAGCTATTAGTGATGTCATTTGATTGTGACGTCATGGTAACCAGTGATGTCACAATGGTCTGCAAAGCATTGTGATGTAATTTCATTGCAGCGATATCTACAGTGTAGATATCGCTTGATCTCATCCAAGCGATATCTCCTGTGGGAGCCAGTTTTGGATGATAAAAGATGACAACTGCGGTTCTTTCCTGGTTGTAGGCAATTCCTTCACACCGACTGCCTTACACACCAGCCTCTTCACAAAAGGAGAACTATAAACTGCCCACAAAGAAAGTATGAGCAAAACATTTCAAACGTAATCAACACCTTACTAAGCTAAAAAAAATCACCGAAGCATTGCCAACTTTACACAAAACACAACAGTAATACCCCAACAAATACATCACCGTCAAATTTTAAGCCATCATTAAACATTAGAGTATACTTTCCTTATGTATATGTTTATCATCCACTATAAAACACATGCACATAAGTAGGTAACAAATACCTTATATTTGTTATGCCTTTTCAGCTCACCTGACCTCAAAGTCATGTGACCTTATGTCCGCGTAAACAACTGCTCCCTAGATCAATGGACTGGAACAACAGAGCTGTCATGTCACATGCTTGTGTTTACCCATGATGACCCCTGATCGTCTTCAAGAGGGTGTTTAGTCAGTCGTTGGGCTAAAATATGTTTACCTTGATACATTTGCACATCGACGTTGCTGAAAACTAAACCTTCTTACTCAGCCGTTTTCTTTCAAATTGTGCTGACATTGCCTAGATAGTAGTGGGGCTTAAAATATATGTTTTTATTTCGCGATATTTCACATTTTGACTTTTGCTTGACATTTGCATTTTGACCATGATCAAAACATGTCTTCATATGCAGCTCCTCAGAAACCAGCGGATCAGTGACGTTGATTTCACATGCTTATCTCCAGCAATAATAACACCTGAGTTTGCTCGAATCAGATATTCAATATGGCCACCACAGCACCCATATTGAAATATATATTTATGGTCACTGCTTGTTTTTAACTAATTACTGTGCGGGTCACTTCTTAAATTATTTATAATATGTACCTCCTTTTAGGAGCAACTATTCTTATTTAAATTCAGTAATATTATTCAGTAATATTTCCTCTTGTTTTAATAAAACTTCCTAATTTATACTACCTTTACGATGAACAAAACAGTTGTGCACAGGAAATATTGAGTACAATGATTAACCGACAATGGTCAAAATAGTGTTTAAAAAACACTTCATTCTTCACATCAATACCACGAACAGTTTTCAGTCAGTTCAAAGTTCCTCCATAGACAAAATTCATGTATATTTCGAGCTAATGCACTATATACAAGCTACTCCATGAAACCAAGGGCATAATTAGTTGCCAGTATTGTCGCACGCACGCACGCACGCACGCACGCACGCACGCACGCACGCGCGCACACACACACACACACACACACACACACACACAAAAGCCCTAGGTTTCATGGAGTAGCTTATATATATGCATTTAGCTTTAACCTGTCATCAAAATAATAGTCTACGATACCGTGAGTCAGGGGCGTTGCTGAGTCCTTTTGCAAGTGTACAGGCAACATTGGAAATATAAATTGCGGAAACATTATGAGAGGATGGTCTGGGTCTCGTTTTGTTTTTAACACACACACACACACACACACACACACACACACACACACACACACACACACACACACATTGTTAAAACCAAAACGAACCAGTGTCACGGAACCTCTATTTAATGCCTTTGTTTTCAAGCTCGATTTTCAGGCAAGCACCGCAGGGTTGAATTCGTACAGATAGGCAAGTCATCATTTATAATATTATTGTATAAACCCTCAAAATGGGGGATCACTCGCTGAGTTCACGACCAACCCATACAAAAAAACAAGACCTGAGTCAATGAACATAAGTTTAATATGATTTAACCACATAGGATGTGTGACTACTTGTCGTTCGTATATATGCCTATTCTACCTGTTACTGATAATCTCATTTTCCTGTGTAATTGACGAAAACGTTGCTTTTGTGAGCCTCGATTAGTAACACCTATCTCAAGAGGATTGTTTTGTGTAACTGAACTGAGGCATTGGTGATAAATATAGAATACTAAACGAGCTCCCGTTTAATACCAATTTTATGAAACGAGTGAATAGTTCTGGTATCTGACGAGCGAAATCGGTTTTACACGGGAGCGAGTTTATTATTTTATTTATTACTTGCCATTTATAACGTTTTTTTAGAATTATACTGTTGAGTATGAATAGGCTGGCACCTACACGATCCACGGCATCGTCCAATTGAGTTTAACAGAATAATACTTCAAACACGTCAAAAGTTGAAACGGATGAATTTAATACCATACAACGGTCCACCTTTAGAATTCACAAAATTATCGTAGGGCTAAGACTATCGCAACGCACATACTTTAACTTAGACTGACGACTGTCGTTGCGCTTCATTCGATCGCCTTGTGGAACGGGGCCTTGCACCGCAAAGTTTACAATCACGTCACAATACCCGATGACGTAATTTGTGGAATTTTGTTGCAAGATCCATCGGCGAAACAATGCCATGTGACGTCAGCCTAGCAACAAGGTTGCTGGGGTCATCGTGTGTGCATCAGCTCCTCTCAGTGATTTATCATCTCCACACGCAATGTCATTGAATAAGCCAAGGGGTGTTGAGAGCTTTCAATATATTTTACCCCCTGTATAAATTGATGTTATTTTATGTATACGGGGCTGTCGGGTAGCCTAGTGGTTAAAGCGTTCGCTCGTCACGTCGAAGACCCGGGTTCGATTCCCGACATGGGTACAATGTGTGAAGCCCATTTCTGGTGTCCCCCGCCGTGATATTGCTGGAATATTGCTAAAAGCGGCGTAAAACCATACTCACTCACTCACTCACTATTGTATGTATACACCGCTGGACACTTAAATAAACTATTTTTCTTCTTCTTCTTCTATATGTTCGTGAAACGTGTTCTGGGAGTACATAAGCACGCGTTTTGGTATTACACAATGTGTAATACAGCTGTATGTTTATTAAACAGGTGATCTCTTCACGGGCAAGTAATAATAAAATATATTACACAGTGGATGTGTGACTACTTGTCGTTCGTATATATACCTATTCTATCTGTTACTGATAACCTCATTTTCCTGTGTAATTGACGATAGCGTTGCTTTTGTGAACCTCGATTAGTAACACCTATCTCAAGAGAATTGATTTGTGTAACTGAACTGAGGCATTGGTGATAAAGGTGTTTACGAGTGACATTAAACATGAAGAAGACTTGTCAGGTGACCAGTCACTTGTACAACACGAATGTAGACGTGTGTAGCGACCAGAAGTGGGATACGACCAGAACTGGGATAAACACTTTAGAGAATTATATCTGTCACATGCAACCATGTGTTTAATTGACAAACATTTAATAAGAGCAAAATCATCTGCACTTCTTGAGTTTTTTATTTTTACTCCGTTCTGCAAAGTGCGCCAGTGGCAGTGCTACATTCGTCACCACTCGCCCCTTTCCGTAACCTGCAAGAAGACTCGTCCCCCTATCGATGAAT